AGTTATACTACAGATCCCTTTAGCCCTCTTGGTAGCCATCAGAGCCTGAGACAATGCAAAGCTGTGTTCTGTCCAGATATTATCACTTATCCGTATGCCATAAGGTGAAAAGGGTGAGGAGACCTGGTTAAGAAAACACAAGAGTGACCTTATAGCCCAAGTGAGAGTAAAGAGGTCCCATCTGTGGTATGTTTTTAAGCTCTGCCATCAGAGCCATAGAAACAGGCACAGGAATGAGTGAGCATTTCTCATTTCTAGGCTAAATAGATAGGTCTTTCATCTTTTCTTACCAAACAATGAGTAATTCAGAGATAATCACAAGAAATCAAGGATTTCCTGATAGCTCCTGTCTTCACCCAAATCATTGGCTACTGAGTTCGTCAAAGACTGATGATGCCTTCTTCCTTGGTAAAGATGGTTTTTTATGTCTATACTCCCTGATTCTACTTCTCTTATAAACTCAAACACCAGTGTATAGCCATGGCTGGGAATATCAGAATTATTTTGAACTTCAAATATTTCTTTTGTTCCATAGGTGCCTGGGTGTATCTTACCAGCTCCCCAGCATTGCCAGACTGTACCATGAATGGATTATGCTTCTGATGAAATCCCTGGCGGCGTTTTGTTCCGTTTCCACTGCAGGGTTCTCGTTTATTCTCAAGCACCCTCTCTGTGTTTCTGCTCTGCGGCACCGCAGGCTGATTAAGGAACACTTTCCAAGCCACAGGGCTCCCCCTTTGTTCGTCTCCTACACTCTTTCATTGCTTGTATTATCCCCTCATTTCACTCCATTTTCGGTCTAATTTCAAATTTCTGTAGCTCTCTAAAATTCTGTAGCCTTCTCCACTCAGTGTTTTCTCGCCTTATTTTTTTTTTATTCACCTTACTTTTATCATCTCTGCACAAACTAGTATTTTCTTTTTTTCTTTCGTCTACTTTTCCTGAATTTTTGCTAATAGCCTTGATCTGTAGCAGTCAAACTCATTACAGTCTAGGTACTCTTCATCTTTTTCAGTTTTTAATTCTGTTTCTTATGTCAAAGGAAGAAATGTATGTGAAAGCCTTTTACAAACCAGAGAGCACTATACACTCGTATAACTTATTGAGATTAACAAAGGACCACTGTGCCTCTTTTCACGCTTTCTGCTCCTTCTGAGCCCAAAGAACTTCTCCATAGAGGAGGGGAATATTGAAGAAAAATAAAGCAATGGAGTTGTCTCTTAGCAACCGGGTCTGCCTTATAAATCTTACTTTAGATTACTGCTGCTCAAAATCACTTGCTTTTCTTACTGGCTTAGTGCAAATAATGTTATTAAATTATCGGGAAAGAAAGGAAAAAATATACCGAATGAGTCGCTTACTTCATCGACTCTGCTCTATCTTTGCATAACGCTGTTGATATAGTTGGGTTGTCTCTTTCTCTTGGTTCAAATTGAAAAAGTTTATGAATATATCTTTTGTTGCTACTTAAGTTGTAAACTAAGTAGAAACTAAATACCACCTTATACATTTCTAGGTTACCTGACTCCTGAAACAATATGGGTCGTATAGGTAGTATATAACAGACACTGCGTATAAATCAGGTTGTACATTTAAAGAAAAGCGGGTATACAAAACTCAAACCAGATTGTGGTGTGATTACTTACATTATAAAAATAACTCGTGAGGATTCTTCAGATATCTTTTAGTGCCTCCTGTGCTAGACAATGGGAGAGATATTCTCTTCTTCGTGTGTGTGTGTGTGTGTGTGTGTGTGTGTGTGTGTAAATAGTCCTTGGCTTCCCCAGTAATAAGGTAGATAAGACTTGCACACAAATAAGGCAGTGAAATGATAAATGCCTGTGAGTGGAAAGCCAAGCGCGGAGGATGGAAAGGTCCCTCCCAGCCTGGTGAGCTGTTACGATTACATGGACAAGGTGACATGTTCAAGAATCCAAGACTAACAGAGATTTTGTCAAGTTTGGAATTAAGACAAGATTGAAGTGGTCGGCGAGATATCGGTGCCTTCAGCACTAGAGCAAGGAGTTTAAATTTTAGCCAGTAAGCAATGGGGAGCCACTGACTTTTTTTTTCTTACATCAAAATCTTGTCTAAGAAAATTTATCGTGCAATAATTGCAATTTCAATTCTTTTAAAAACTGGTTTGCTGATATTCCTTTAGGCTCCTTACTCTTGTATAAAACAAAAGATGTTTACAAGTTAATCAATTATAGAATTGTTTTATTTCTAGTCTCTTTAAAGGGTAGTCAAAAAACTATTTTCAGATGAAATAAGATCTGGTAAGATAAGCTAATGAGTTGGGCTTCATATGAAGAGGGGTAGAATACCACTTTCCATACCTTCTGAAGTCACTGTGAGGGAACTTTGTGTCCATTAGTCAGCCACCCTGCTGTCTCAGTTCTCCAACTGGGACAATGCAGAAATCCACCATTTTCTCTTTTTTTCTTCCTGCGTGGATAGAATGAATATCTTTAGTGAAAACAGCTTCTTCTCAATGGCCCTCTTAGATTTGTTCTTAATTTTGCCAAACATTTGTTTACCTGAGCAAAAGACTTTGTTTCCCTGCCTTTTCCTTTACTGGGAAAAACAAACAGTGGGAGTGACAGCTTGTTGTGAGGCACTGCTGGTACAAAGATGAATTGCTGTGTAAATACTCTGAAAATGTTGATAATTGACTGTTAGTGAAAATGCAGTGTGGCTTGTTTTGTTTTGTTTGTTAATCCTCACCCAAGGATATTTTTCCATTGATATTTAGAGTGAGTGGAAGGGAGGGAGAAAGACAGAGAGAGAAACATTGATGTGAGAGAGACAATAGATTGGTTGCCTCCCGCATGTGCCCCGATGGAGCCTGCAACCCAGCTATGTGCCAGTGACCGAAATCGAACCCGGGACCCTTCAGTCCACAGGCGATGCTCTATCCAAACCAGCTAGGGCAGGAAATGCAATGTTTTAATAATGAAGACTATAGAATAAGGTTGGCTATTATTTTCCATGCATAGCATGCCTTGGGGGATTTAGAGCATGAAATGCTTCCCACCTGCTTCTGTTAAGGAAGTAACACTTCCTACGTGTTTACCTCACAGTTAAATCGTGTTTTTAAAACATTACAACTAGAGAAGCAATGTGTTTTAGTGAGCCATATTAGATGAACAAAGGACCACTTTGTTCATCTAGTCATTCACTTGCTGTGTCAGGACAAGTCAGGACTCTTTCTTTGTGCCTTGGTATTCTGATGAGACCGTCTGAAGCCGCCCTGGCCAAAAAAAACCTGCATGCCAGCAACATGCGACTGCCGGGGACTCGGGGACACAGAACCACAAGCTGTTACGTAAAATAGTTCAAGAATGAGATTGTGGGTGCTGAGCAGCACACTGTTTGCCCTGAGCGTCGGCCTGCAGACTGAAAGGTCCCAGGTTCGATTCCGGTCAAGAGCATGTACCTTGGTTGCGGGCACATCCCCAGTAGGAGGAGTGCAGGAGGCAGCTGATCGATGTTTCTCTCTCATCGATGTTTCTAACTCTCTATCTCTCTCCCTTCCTCTCTGTAAAAAATCAATAAAAATATATTAAAAAAAAAAAAAGAATGAGATTGTGGGTGCTGAGCAGCACACTGCCCTGGTGTCTTCCCCCACTGCATTGACCACCCCGGCTCCCACCTGAGTTCAGAGCCGCAGGGAGAGGGAGGGATATGTGTCTGGGCGAATCATGGTTTCCACTCTGGAAAGCTGGTCATGTCTCGAGTCAGTCCCAGCCTGAAGAACCTAGAGAAGATCTTGTTTGATTCTAATCCTGCTCTTTGGTGCCATGTGAGTCTCTCCTGCGTCTCTGGAGAAGGCGCAGGCAATTCTGTCTCTGAGCTTCGGAGGAGAGACTCCGGCTCTAAGACTGCACACCGAGTCCAGATCCCAGAGAGTGTGTGTCTTCAGACGAAAAAAAAAAAATTTAGCTCAGTGGAATTTAATTCCATGATGAATGATAACAAATGACATAAGTTATTTTTAAAAATGAATTTTGGGTTTCAGAGCAAGACTTTTCTTTCTCTGCTTCTGACTTAACCATGAAGAAAAATTCAGAATAACCCTTAAAAACAGTAGTTCTTGCCATTCATTGAGAAGCATTTTGTTATCTGAAGTTGGGCTCCTCTCAAGGTTTAAAAGTTAGGAGCACAATTTTAGAAATAAGAAGTTATTTTGCATGTTTTCCCTCTTTGCTATACCGTTTAGGTGCCAGATAGAGCTTGCTCTATTGACTCGAATCAAATGAAAGCATGTCCAGTGAAAATCACCTCTGGCTTGAGAACCAGACTGTAGTTCATTCAGAAACCAGAAGGATCCTGGCCCAGTTTTAATGCACGCAAACTCTCCAGCCCACCTTGGCTGGAAGTTGGTATTGTAGAACCAGGCTATAAACCGTGAGGGCCGGGGACTCCACACTGTGGGAATCTGCTGTTATTTCTCAGCAAATCAAATCCACCGTGAATTCCAGTGTACAGACTGTGTGGTCTAGTTCAGGCTGCAGCATCAGCATGAATAGAGGAAGGCCAAGTTCAGGAAAGAGGGAAACCACAAGACTTAAGTGGGGAGGAAAGGGTTGCTTGGGTAGCCACAGCGGCACATTTTGGACATTTGAAGATCATTGCCTCTCTTTCTCCTTCTTTCTTCCACATAAAGATTGTGGAGGGAGTAAAAGGAGGAAAGCCTTGACTCAAAAAGGAAAAAAATTACATAAAATGATCATCTTTACTGCCAGGGACTTCTTAATGTTTATTGGGTGTGCACCCCAACTTAACACATTTGACCAAACATTTCCCATGATTCATCATCTTTTAATGATGCTGTATAATTCAAAAAAGATTATTACTATGTGTGGCCCATTTGCCTCCTGTAATTCTGTAAGAACATTATAGGAAGGCTTAGGGAATACTTGTACTCCATTTTGTTTTCACAGTGTTACTAATTTCCTTCATTAAAAACATATCTAAAATCTTTATTCTCTTTTTAGGTAACAGTATGACTAAATACATTGAGAAGCTAGAAGAGATCAAAAAAAGTAAGTAGCACTGTTATTGATGGGCTGGCATAATGGGACCCTGTAGTAGTTCTATAAGTTGGTTATTAACAACCCTAATCATACTCTATAACTGACACACACGGAGAGCTATGGGAGTCCACTGGCAGGTGGTGGAGAGATGTGGGAAACACGTTACCTTCCTGGTTAGCTGCTAGGATCGTGGCTTGTGGGTCGAGTTGTGCCTGACTTAGACCTCAGAGGAGGTGTTAATGTAGGAATGTAGAGTGAGCAGTGAGAACCTGCACTTTAGTTTCATTGTTCTACGGTCTTCTTAGCCTTTTTCAAGGTACTTAATCTTTCCTCCTTTCTCAATACCTGAGATAGGAGTAATAATGTCTTATTTCATAACACTCTTTTGAGTATAAATTAGTACTCATGAAAGCCTTAGAGATATGAGAAAGAGCTTATTCTTAAAGCGATGTTATACATTATAAATTCATTGCAGTCTGCTTTCTTTTAATTAAAAATCATATTTCATACACATTCTTTTTAAAAACTAATCTTCTGCAAAGATATGCCACTAGTCACTGAGTGTTTTGCTCTTGTACAAAATCATAATTTTTCAGTCTGTGTCCAAAACAGATGTAAAATGTACACATCAAGGCCAGAATTAAAGAAGCAGCAGAGACATCTATGTCCTAAGACGGATTTGCGCCTATCTCCAGTGGAACACAGTGCGAGGGGAGTACTTAGCTAATGTGAGGGAAGAGGGACTCGCTCAGATAACAGTTCAGAAGTTGGCTCTGGTAATATACATCTTCTGGGAAGAGATTACTACAAATCCAGAATTCAGAGAACTTTGTTTTTACACAGCAGGCCTTTTAATTTAAATGATAATGTTTCTGTTCCTTTTGAATTGCTGAGAAACCCCAGATAATAGATGTGGACTCTGGAGCAGCTTTCTGCTGACTCTGCTGTTTGCCTCCGTGAGCTATAGGACTCCTGCTGGAGACATTTGTTTTCTGATGTGTAATGTCCCAGCGGCCTTTTATTTTCTTCCTATACATTCTACATTATAGCTTATACATTATTTTGCACTTTATATTGTATACGTATGTATTTTAAGGATATATTAAAATTTTAAACCATGAAAAAAATCTTGTTTACTCACCTGGGCTGCATTATTGTCGCCCTTAGTTCATCCGTGGCAGGACAATCCGGCTGGCCTGCTTCGAGTTCGGTGTGTAGTCTCTTTCACCTCCTGTCCATTTGCAGCCGAGTATAAAAGCTCACATGTCCACACCAGAATTTGTCCCCTACAAATGTCTTGTTCCACCCAGATTGCGGAAACCCGGTTTAAAACATTTCTTAAAAGCACAGTGTGGTTTCCTTAATATCTAAACTTTAAATGGAGCTTTTCTCCCCAAAAGAAATGCCTCTGGAATGGAGTCCTTGGAAATGCTTTTCTCTTTAGAAGTTGTGGGCTTCCTTTTAGTAAGACAGGAGGTTCCTCTCACCTGGTTTCACACACTTTGTGCTGATTCCCTGACTAGAATTACTTCAGATTCTGGTTTGGGATCTACATTTTGAACGATATTTCCTTCTCTTATCCCATTTTCTGTTGTAGATGTTCTTTTGGGTCAAAGGGAGGAGAATATTGCCTTGTTCCGTGACACCCTAGCCCCATCACTTTTCTCGGATTACCTCAGATGCCATGTCTTTCTGTGAAATCACAAACCTTGTTCTGTTACTTCCTTTGATTTGTCTTCCACTGCGAGCCCAACTTCCCTTTGCTAATAACGTGTTTTAACAAAACCCTGAAAACGCAGAATTCCTTTGTAATCTGAATATTCTTTCAGCTCTGCCTGGGGAGAACAGACACTCTGTGTCTATTGACCACTTACAAAGCGTATTCTTGGCTTCTGGTGGTTAGATGACACTAGTTGGACCCGGTGTGAAACATCCTAGATAGTTAGGTCTCTGTCCTTCCAGTAACTCGAGAGAGACAGGCTGAGCCTCCAGACTTACTGGAGAAGCAAAACTTGATAGCATATCTGAAACTCGGGTTCATTGTCTCCATCACGGAGTTGGGAGAAGCTACCAGTAGCAGAAGCTCCATTCTTAAAGCTCTGTTCGCGAGGACACTGACAGAGCTTTCCAAGCCATCCTTTTTGTAAACTTTAAAACTTACTGTACAACGTCTAGTTTGATCTTTTTATCTCCGAGCAATAATGTCAGAAAGTCCTAGCGATGGCTGCCCTTCTAAACCAGAACCAGGTATGTAGAGTTGAGGCTCAAATGTGCAGTGGGATTTCTAGTGCGTGCGAGAGGGCAATCATTAGAAGACAGCTGAACCGGTTTTTTTGTTTGAGGTAATTCAACAAAGTTAAAGGGGGTTTTAATGTACTTAGAATGTGAAGAATTGGAGAGTATTTCAAACTATGGAACTATACAGAAAGAATATCGGTAGATAAATGGCACAGTGCAAACTGCTTGAAAGCGATGGACTATTTTCATTGTCTGATGTATCACCATTTTGATTTAAATAAGTGACTTTTGGTGGACGGGTTGGTGGCGATTCAGTGGTACTTGTTATTGCTTGTGGTCAGCCTATGTGGGTCTACATCCTGGTGGGTCTTAGAAGCTGGTTTGCATCTAGGTTTGTTACCTTGTATCCAGAAGAAGTTGTTCTAAGAATTTTCTAGAAATAATGGTCAGTTATTAGCCAAATTGCTCTCTTTAAGACATTTTAGAACAGCAAAACTTTAATTCCCTGTAAGACAAGAATCTTGATGTAGTTTTAAGGTAATATTTCCTGACTCTGAGTCATAAGGTGTTTGATAAATCAAGCAAACATTATCCTCCGAAATAACTATCCGGTCTGTGCTGGTTTTTTGGAAAATTCATAGAAATGATTAGTGCACCAGGTAAACAGTCTTAAATATCTTAATCCTTTCCTTTGTTGCTAGGAGTCTTGGCTTATGAGACTTTGTGCTGTGAAGGCCACAGTAATTATCCAGCTAACGGACCTTTAGTAATTCTGAAGTAATGGCACAGTCTTTCAGGAGCCCTGGGCTCCAATATAAACACCTAAAAGAGGAGAGGAGTAAAGGGTAAGAGTGGGAGGGAGGTCAGTGCTGAGAACTTCAGGATGGGCAGTCATTTTCAGAAAAGTTTAAGGAAGCTAACTTAACATGCCTCTATGGGGCAGAGATTGGATAAAGTGATATTGGCTAAAATTTTTAAAAAACTGTTTAATGTGCTACATGGGATTAGTATCACAATTACAGGGGTACCCTCATTGGAGGAGTTACGTCTCAGAACTGTACAGATAGCACTGAGTACATGTTGATGTTTTAGGTTGATTTTTTACTTTAATTGTAAAAAGCACATACCATAAAATGTACTGTCTTAACCATTGTTAAGTGTACAGTTCAGTAGTGTTAAGTAGATTCACTTTGTTGTACAGTAGATCTCCAGAACTTTTTCATCTTGCAAACCTGTTGGACAGGTTGCTTTTTATTGAAGTAGAGGTGAAGAGAAACTGACACAAGAGATGGTCACGAGCAGTCACCACTCCGTGCCCAGCATTGTGCCTGGGGGTGGCGGGGAAAGTGTTGTCCTGTGTCTCCAGCATAGTTTGTAACCTCTGGAATGTAACTCGTCTTTTCAGGGCAGGGTTGACCTGGGGCCACTCCGCTTAAGGGTCTCTGTCCTGTTTATAACATGCAGATTTGTTTCCTTTTGTTCTGAAAATAGTTTAAAGCAGTTTACAAAAATGTGGTACAATATGGCCAAAGTACAGCCATAGCATAGCAAGGTAACAGAAAAATGGTAGACTAATAACATAAAGGCAAAGGATAAAGTCTCTAGACACAAAGAGGTGGCTGTTCAATTATAGGCTTTCTACTGGCCCAAGCAAAGGGGAAGGGGGGAGAGAAATGAAGAAATTATATAATACTGACCACTTTTAATTTTGAGGATATCATGAGGTAAAAGCACATAAATAACTTGAGAAATATACCATATAACTTGGTGATTAGAAAGAATGAATACCTCTGAGGAAGCAAAATAAACCTAGAAAAATATTTGTGCTTTTCAGATTACAGATACAAAAAAGATGAGCTTTTCAAGAGACTAAAAGTTACCACCTTTGCCCAGCTGGTAAGTTTAATAATCTCCCACTGGAGTAAAACTTGTCTAATTTGTGCTGCTTTATGTGAGTATCTCTAAATTTGATTCTAGGTAATATTTGCAGTGGGGTTTCTTCTGATTATTTATATTTTACCTGTGAGAGAATTAATTGGTGTATGATGTGTATATTCATTGGAGGACGGTGTGAAATTTTTCTCTCTTCTTTGATAAGAATTTTATAAAGTAAAATGTACATTCTACTTTTAAATCATCAAATTTGTGGTTTAGGTTCTGTTTTTTTTTCCTTGTCCATTTAATTTAATATTTAGAATCTAGAGTTCTGGACTCTGGATTGTTTGGACATTTTTCTCTGTGTAAGCCAGGTGATCGCCCTTCGATGACTGAGTTCTTTTCCCAAGCCTTCCTTGGGCTATTTTTTTTACTTTGGGAAAGTCACTTTATCCTTTCATTTGAAAATTACGAACCAAGTGTCTCTCTGGTACCCAAACAAGAGTTCCATTGATGTAACTCAAGATGGATCTTGGGTCTTATGAGCTAAATTTTAAAAACTGCTTCAAAATCTATATGTAAGGCCCTAGCCAGTTTGGCTCAGTGGATAGAGCTTGCGGACTGAAGCATCCCGGGTTGGCAACCAGTCGAGTTGACTCTTCTCACATTGACATTTCTGTCTGTCCGTCTCTCCCTCTCCCTTCCACTCTCTCTAAAAAAAAAAAAAAAAAAAAAAAAAACAATGGAAAAATATCCTCAGGTGAGGATTAAAAAAAAAATCCATATAGGTATACAATGCTATAATCAATGTACTCATAATTACATTTATTTCTTCCTTGCATGAAGAATTGCTGATACAATTTGTTATTATAAGTATTGCATTTTTTTTTAAAATATATTTTATTGATTTAAGTATTGCATTTTTAAGAAATAACATGTTAAAAAAGTATAACATATGTAATACTTTCAACAATAAAGATTTTTTTTAAAAAAGTAATAACATGTTATGTTGGGACCAGAATATATATGGGCGTAGTTTCATGTATATGGCTAGGTACTCTTATTCATATTTCTTGTCCTAAGTTGCCCGTTTGGCCTTTGAAGTTTATTGTGCAGTGTCTTAAATGAACCCTTTTCTTCTGGAACGGTCCTCTGCAGTGTAATGACCACTCCCGGAGTAAGGGGACCCGAGCGTTAGTCTCTAGTTGAGGACACGGACAGTGTCTTAAAACAAGAGATCTTTGATGTTCCCTGTCTTTTGTAAAAGACAGGCTTGCCTCTGTTTAAAGACAAACAAACATAGACACATCTCCACATTTCATTCCTCTTTCTCTCAGGTCATCCAGGTTGCTTCCTTGTCAGATCAAACACTGGAAGTGACAGCTGAGGAGATTCAAAGACTGGAAGGTAATGAGAATTGAGGCTGCGGGAAAGTAACGGACTGACCGTTTGACTGAAGCGCTCGCCCTCTGCGGCTGCGTGCGCAGCGACCTGGGACTTTGATGTACCTGTTTGTAATTAGATTGTTGCTCTCTGAGCAATGCTATCTGCTGCTTTAATTGTTAATTCTTACCTCTTAAAAAAAAAAGCCATCTGGTTTTCTGGCTCTAGCATTTGTAGTTTTAAATGTTTTAGATGTGTTTGATATACTAATTACTTTTTTTCAACAGGTATTTTTAGTGTTTTCTATGTATGTACAAGCCACAGAATTAGGCGCTATGAGACTACAAAGATGAATAAAACCCAGCTCTACATACGTGGGGTTTGTCATCACGGGTGCACACGTGTTTGCATGTTGGGTGAGGAGAATGATGGCAGAAGCACAGAATCACTAACAGGGCAGAAATTTGTAACGGAGGACTGACAGGAAGCTATCGTTTGTTGGATTCATGTATATTGCTAGGTACTTCACCTGTGTTTTCTTATTTAATTTATTGCAAAAACTCTATAACAGCGGTTCTCAACCTGAGGGTCGCAACCCCTTTGGCGGTTGAACGACCCTTTCACAGGGGTCGCCTGAGACCATCCTGCATATCAGATATTTACATGACGATTCATAACAGTAGCAACATTACAGTTATGAAGTAGCAACGAAAATAATGTTATGGTTGGGTCACAACATGAGGAACTGTATTTAAAGGGCCAGAAGGTTGAGAACCACTGCTCTAGAAAGAGGGTACTCTTTACAGATGAGAAGCCCAAGCCCAGAGGAGCAGTGACTTGCTGAAGGTGATACAGCCAGTGTCTCCCATGGCAGCCAGTGTCTGCTGCGGGAGTGCCGGGGGAGGGGAGGTATTTTCCAGTTGGAAAACAGGTAGACTTTCTTAAGGCTTCTGAACCAGCCCTTCCAGGTGAGGCCGTTGCTGGCTGAGGAGAGGCACCGAGAAGAAAAGGCTGAACACAGGCCTGGAGAAGAGAGAGCTCCCGGCGTGCCTGGGGAGTCACGTAATCCAGTCTGGCTGTGGTCTGAGGCAGGAATAGGTGTCTGGTAGGAGATAAGGCCAGAAAGATAGGTAGGCTCCAGATTTCCTTTCTTAAATGCCGAGTCGAACGAAATAAAACCTCTTTCGTTGTACTCTCATGAAAGGCATACACAGAGCTAAGGTCTTCATTTTATCCTGAAGCGCTCAGCAATCAATGTGTGGCTGTTTATTGACGGAGAATGTGTTTTGTTAAGGTTGATGTAGGCCAGGAATTTGACTTCTGATTTCAAGACAAGTTTCTCAGGAAGTCTGAACACTGGGTTTGTGCAACTCCACTGTCATTTCCCTGGGCTTGTTTTTGTTAGCGAGGATAAAGGGAATCTGAAAAAGCCAGGAATTTATCTTTGACAGATGCCTCTCACACAGCAGAGAAAGAAGGGCTCTTTGTAATAGAGATAATTGAGTCTCCTCATACAAATACACCCAATTTTAACCTGGTTATATAAGTACCTGGATTGGGTCTTTTAATTCATTATAGAGATTGCAGCACCAGGACATATGGGCTCATGCAATTTTCTCTTCTGAGATGAATTTGCACAGCAAAATAGGCTCTTGTAAAATAGGACACCATAATGTGTGAGTAATATTAGTGTTTTTCTAGTGCTCCACACAGAATAATAACTCACTCAGGAATGCCTGTAGGACAGATTGTATCTGTTTGCATATTGACTATCTTTGAAGGATTACAAGATCTCCTTTTGTAATGTTTATTTTTTCCTGACTTAAAAGTGTATTTTTAGAAAATTAGAAAACTGCAAAAAATATATAAAGAAAATTAAAATAACTAATAATCCCTGTTTTAAATTTTGTTGTCTATTCCCGCCCCCATCTAACTCCCACCCAAATCCATACTCTTCGTATATAGTTTTGTATGATGCTGTTTCCAATTAACATTTTGTCATGCATACTTTCCCGTGTCATTACATAGACTCACAGAGCTTCGGTGTAAAGGTCGTGTGGTCGTATAATGCCTACCCTTTGGACATACCATAATTTATTTAATTATTCTATTCCTGGGGCACTACAGCTTTTCTAATTTTTCACTTTTATAAAATAATGCTGCGGTGTAAATACATAAGTGCTTGTGTGGTTCTGATTGTTTCCTGGAGATGAATCGCTGCAGATGAACAAAGGGTAGACCTGTTTTGGAGGCGCTCAATGCTGATTCCACAGCCTCTCCGGAAGGTTCTACCTCTGCAGCCCACCGAGTGCATGAGCCGAGCCAGTGTTAGCATGGTTTTATTTTGAATGTCTCTGATAGTGACAGTGAGCTCTGTGTGTGTGTGTGTGTGTGTGTGTGTGTGTGTGTATTGGTCATACGTATTTCTTTCGAGGATATTACAGGCCCTTTCCCATTTTTTTCTAATGGAATGTTCATCTTTTACTTACTGTTTTATGAAAGCGTTATGTAAGTATGATATCTTTTTACTTTGGAAACCAATACAGCCTTGGAAATAAAGGAGAAAAATCTTTACTTGATGATTTGGAACAATTTCCAAGCTGTATTATCAAGTAAAAATAAAACAACAAAACAAAAGCCAAGGTGTAGAGCAGTATGAATAGCGTTCTCCTGGACATGTAAAAAGGGGAGGAAATAAAATATATGCAGAAGTATGTAGTTGTTTTATTTCTGGAAGGAGACATAAATATGTGAAGCTGGTTCCCTTGGGGGAGGAGGCCCGAGGGCCATGCATCTGGAATCGGAAGATGGCTTCCTTTCCACATAAATTTATGCTGTTTGCATTTTTACCTTATACACATGAGCCTTTTTTCAATTAAGGAGCTAGTTAATTTTTTTAAACTCTGTAAATTAAGTATATTAACCTTTTCTCATCCATATATGTTACAGGTATTTTTTCCTAATTTGTTATTCACCTTTTAATTTTCTTTGTGTTGATTTTGACATATATGAGGTTTGCATGTTTACATGATTAAATCAGCCATTCATGTTATGTTTTGTTTTATTGCTTTAGATTCACAAATTCTAAAATAAGATAAATTATTTACCTCTATTTTCTCCTATCAACTTGCTTGTTAGTTTTGTTTTTGTTTTAATATCAATCTATCTGTTACATATATAGGGTGTCCCAAAAAAGTGTATGCACACTTTACCAGCTGATAATCACTTAATTTTCGCTTCTTTTCAGGTTTAACTGATTTGAAATAATGGGTGAAGCCAGACTAAGCTTTGAACAAAGAAAATGTATCCTAAAGTGCCACTAGACTTTTTTTATGGGGATACATAAAAGAAAGTTTACGGTACAAAACCGGCAATAGTTGACAAATTGAGGGCACACAAATACTGAACAAAATGATTCTTAATATTTGTGATTTCATTGCTTCATGTTATCAGCGGTGTCTGGACCAAAACGGTCATCAGTTTGAAAACAGGCATTGACACACAAAAAAGTATTCATTTCTGTACCTTTCTTTAAATTTTTTTAATGAACTATATGTTAATAAACACTGACTTTATGATCATTCAAAGTGTGTATACTTTTTTGGAGGAGAAACCCTGTATTTTGGTATATGATGTGAGAGGTTAGCTAAATTTGATTTTTCTAGATAGTTGACAGATGATTTCAACAGCATTTATTCAGTAGTTCTCCTTTATCAACTGTTTTGTGATGCCACCTTGAACATATATTAGCTTCTTATATATATTCTAGGGTTTGTTTCTGTGTTCTCTATTGTATTCTATTGTTCTGGTTGTACTTCAGCATTGCTTTTATCATTTACCTTTTCAATATATGTTACTATTTGATGAATCAGGTTCTCTAAATTTTTATATATGTATGTATAATTTTTTTTCTTCTTATAGTTAAAATCCTTTTAAACTTTTTTTTATCCCATTGGGATTTGTATTAAGGCTAAAAAATAAATCCGGAAAGGATTAAATCATTTAACTTTTAGTCACCCAGTCAGGACTACTCAATGTATGCCACTCTCTTCATTCAGGTTAATGTCCCTAAGTTAATTTTTATAAGACCTATAAAGGATTTACAAGTTTTTACCAGATCTTTACATTTCTTAATTAGGTTTATTTTCTAGGTGAGTATATTGTATATCTGTAATTGTTACTGTAAATGAGATCTTCATATTATTTTCTAATTGGTATATAGGAAAAATATTTTGTTAGTATTTATATTTTTATCTAACCACCTAATTATTTTTCTTATGCTTATAGGAATCTCTTGAAGTTGCTCAGTATATTATATAATATCCAAATTAAGATCTCATTTCTATTTCTTCTCTAATTATACTGGTTAGAACAGTAAATTCTCAGACTTTTTGGTAATAATCTCCCTCCACACTATAACAATTATTGAGAACCTCAAAAAGTTTTGGTTTATGTAAATTACACCTATTAATATTTAGGGTATTAAGATTTTAAACAGGACTTAAAAATATTTACTCACTATTTCACCCATTATAAACATAAATAACATATTTTTATGCAAAATAGCTATATTTCTAAAATAAAAAATTTTCTGAGAATGGAATTACTTACTTTTTTGGGTAAATCTCATTAATGTCTGATTTAATAGAAAACAGGTGATCCTCCTATCTTCTGTATTCAATGTGTTGCAATATGCTATTTGGGTTGAAGCATCTGAAGAAAATCTGGCGTCACAGACCTGTGGATATAAACGGCAGAGTGTTTTAATAGCCCTTTCCATTATTGTGGATATCTTTCTTTGATACAACACCAAAACAACAACTGATAGTTTCCTAAAGGTTAGTTGTAATGTAGAATCTGAAACCATATTAATGAATTTTTCACACTCTGTTACATTAAAAGCCATCGGTCTGTCTTGCACTTTGAATGAATCTTTTATCCGTGTATGATTTTATAACATCATGCCTTGGTCGTGCGAAAATTATTGGTTCACTGAGTTATGAAGATCTTCCCAATGTTGACAAATTTCATTACACAGCATAAAAAACAAACAAACACATTCATCAATCTCACCGCCTATCTTATCAGAAAAGGCATTAAGTATGGAGAAACAGTCAAGCTCCCGATGGTACATAGCTTCCAAAATTATGATTTTTATTCAAAATGTAATCATTGCAACAAATGCCATCAGTTGTTTTCCTTGAAATGACAAGTTCACTTTTTCACTTAGATCATTTTTTTTTCATGTCTGCCAAATGCACACGTCTAAGTAACCAGTTTTTCTCAGATTTTCTTCCAAGTAAAAATGGTGTTCAGGGCAAAAGCAGCAATAATCAGACTAATGCTTTTCCTTGAGACAACCATGGGACCTGGGTATGTAGCAAACGGTCGGTATGCAATTCCCCATTTCATCACACAGAATATGAAAAAGGCGTGTACGTGAGGGTAAAATTTAATAAAGCTGTTCATTATTAGTGCATCACCAGGGACGATTTTTAAGTGAGATTGCCATATTAACTGTGATTGCAGGTTGGTGCAAACAGGGTGATTGCTAATAAACCTTAGCACCATGACCCTGGCTCTTGCTAAGGCACTAGCAGTGTTATCCACCATTTTATTTGCACCATCGGGGCAAATAACACAGTAAAAAAGATAAATAACATCTCAGCATCATTATGAAAACAGTCTTTACCTTGCAGATCCCCTGAAAGGGCCTTGGGGACTCCTGGGGTCCACAGGTGGCATTTTGAGAACCTATATACCTAATTTGAGAATTTATAGAACAATTTAAATAAGGTGATGTGCGCTCCTTTTCTTGACCTAATTTCAGTGGCCCTGCCTGATAAGTAAATACAGGTTCTACCATTAAATGTACTTGTTTCTTTATTTGCACGTTTTAGACAATGATTCTGCGACTTCAGACCCTGATGCCGAAGTTGCTGCCAGGACCAATGGGAAGGGGAGCCCCGATGAGCAGCCGCCGAGCCCTGTCCAGTTCATAAATAGCGTGGGAGCGGGGGACTCCAGTCGCTCGACACTCCAGAGGTACTCCAATCAGATCCGTGCTTCCCCTGCATCTTACCTTCCTATCAGGCGAGAGACCGATTTCAGTGGCTTAAGTACCTCAGGAACAGACTGGCAATGGTGAAGCCCCACATTCTCACCCAACCTTCTACTTTCTCTCTATGTAAATGCCTCCTCCTGAGTCTTCCCACAGCATCCTCCGTCGGTGAATGTAAGACTCTGTTGTTGGGAGAGCATTAATTTTCACACCTCGCTTCCACTCTTCTCGCCCCTCCTGTATACACGTTTGCTCTCAGGACCTGGCTTTACAACTACTGTCTTTTGACTCAGAGAGCATGATTCCCTTCGCCTTTTCTGTCTGTTGCCCCTTATAAGTCCCCTGACTTGAATCAGAAGGAAAGTGGAGAGGCACACACAGGCCTCTGCTATCACACAGGTGCAAAGAGGAGTGAGAGCAGCCCTCGGTGTCGATCCTCCAGCTGCACGTGGCTGGTCCTTCTTCCGTACACTGTGACGCCTCACTTTCCCACAAATAGTAACTGTTGACTATAAGACAGTGCTAACTTTTGGCACATACCCACCCCTCCTACTGGTAAAATAGTCCAACTAGTGAAAGAATTGCTATCGTCTATACCACTGTTATTATTTTTATAACTACTTTTGTGCAAGGACTCTAAAATTGCTTTCAAAACAAATAGACCAACGAGACTACCATTGAGGGTAGAATTTCTTCTCCTGTGGTTCAACAAAATATGCACTACATGGCATGTAGTTATGACGCTTATCAGATTTAAATGCAGAATTTGACTTGCTGTGATGGGGAGGAACTATATACTGCATGTCAGTCTGTGGTTTGGCATACATGTCTTCACATTTGCCAGGAAAGTGATCATCTTCTCATAGCGACGCTCCACTACTTGCCATTTTGTTCATAACACCTACTGCTCTTATTCCTTTGATCCATGTTTTAACCTCATTTTGCCTATAATATTAATATGGTGACCAATTTTAGTGATTTTATGACCTTAAACTAGAACTGTCAGTGGTGAACTCATTTTAATCTTAGCTTTTCCTGTGTCTGATTCTATGAATGTCACTAAATCTAAAAGCCTCTTCAACCTCAACATCATAACCTATAAAATGGAAGTAAGTACACGTAACTACTAAAAACATTAAGGTTCAAAATCCAGATTGGATAGACTCAATGAATAAATTAAAACGTCGTTGTTACTTTCCATTACATATAGAAAGGCCTTCGTTTATCCTGCCCCATCAGCCTTATTCTTTCCCCTTTTGCTCTGCTCTCTTACGCCCCTCAAAATTCCATTGGATTGATTGTTCGCCGCCTCTTTCCCTGAATGCTGCCCTGATTGCTGGAGGAGGCATGCACCCTACAGCGTCTCCCCCCTCAGCCAGGCTAATGGCCTGGCGTACACTGTCGGGAGGTAAGTGGGGACCTGTGGGTCCTCGCCTTGGGGCCCAGTGAGATAAAATAGGAACCACAGGATCTTGTATTCAGAAGCAGAACTGAGACACTATACCCATTTTCCTTTTGCTTTGCAGTGTCTTTTGAAAAGACACTGAGCTCTCTCTCGCTATTCTGAGGAAAAGCATCTGACCTTTAAGGCTAGCTGCTGCTGACCTACTTTTCCACTTGCAGCGTCATCAGTGGTGTTGGAGAACTGGATCTAGACAAAGGGCTGGCGAAGAAAGCGGAGCCCAACAGCAGAGACAAGCCGTACCCCGACTGCCCCTTCCTGCTGCTCGATGTGCGCGATAGAGACTCTTACCAGCAATGCCACATTGTTGGAGGTAAGAGAGGCGGCCTCACAGTGCCTCCTCCCAACACCGCCGCCCGTTCTTGCATCCCGGCCCCCTGACCACATCCCATGGTCAGCAGTTAAGGGGCCATATGCTAGCCCGGTCCATGGTGAGTTGGCTTTCCCATAATGCTCTGAGACAGGCCGATGACGCGCTCCCGTGGCTCAGGGCCCAGGGCGAACGTCAGATACAGTCAAGTAAAGCTTCATATTTTGTTTATAGTGTCCTGTTTCTTTTCTTTCACAAAAGTATTTAGGTTTATGGCTTGTTGATTTTGAAAATATATTTCTTTAAGCTTTTAGTGAGACTTTAAACCCACTGGGGGGCGGGGTCAAGTTGTACTAGGAAAGCTACAAACTTCCTAATTTTCCTTTCTTTACAGCTTACAGTTACCCAATTGCAACTCTGTCTAGAACAATGAACCCTTATTCAAATGACATTCTTGAATATGTATCCTTTGTTGCATTTTAAGGAGTTGGGTGAGGATGAGGTTTGTAATAATCAAACTTACCAGGAAAACTCTGTGAAGGACTTTTGATACATCACTTGATCTTAGCCAAAAGGCCGGGAAGCAATGTGTGCATGACTTTTTATAGTAATTAGCTTATTTTGGCATATTTTAGAATTGGGATTCTTAGCTGTTACTGAATATGCTGACTATGATTGCAGATGGTTCCAAGCCATACTGCACTGGGCTAACGAACATCAGGTTAAAGGCTATGATCCATTAAGAGTTAGTCCTGTCCTGGCTGGTGTGGCTCAGTTGGTTGGGCATTGTCCTGTGCACCGAAAGGTTCCAGGTTCGATTCCCGGTCAGGGCATATCCCCAGTTGTGAGCTTGTTCCCTGGTGGGAGCATGCAGTAGTTAGCCAATGGTTGTTTGTTCTCACATTGATGTTTCTCTCTCTCTCTCTCTCTCTCTCTCTCTCTCTCTCTCTCTCTCTCCTTCTCTCACAAAAGAGTCCTAAGACGTTTTTCCCCCCAGAAAGCTTTCCCAGGTAAAACTTATGAAGTAAATTTTCTTCCTTCTATTTTAACTTTTTTCTTCTTAAAATTTTAATATTTTTGCTCATAAAAATCATACAAATAGAAAATAATTTAAATATTAAAGTATGTGAGAAAGAAAATTGAAATCTTTGATAATCACCCATTTGAACAACTCTTATTACATTTTTTGTATATTTTACTCCAGACTATCTTCTATGTATGTTTTAACAAAGTAGAAATCATACTGTATATATAATTTAGTGTCTTGCTTTTTCCGCACTTGATATTACAGTGTACTTTGTCACACTAACACCCGGTCTTTATAAACTCCATTTTTGATATAGTGTATATGTCTTCAGATGTACTATAATTTACTAAAACGTTCCACTTTATTGTACTTTTTTTTTTACTATTATAAACAAGGCTGCGTTAGAGCATATTGAACATAAAAGTTTTTCTACTTCCTTGCCTATAGAATGGACTTGTAATACTTGTTCTCCAGGGTTGAGATGATAACAGAGCTAAAGGGTGTGTAGTGTACCTCGTGCGTCTTGGATCAGGGTACTGTTAGTTTATAAGAGAAGAGAATACCGGCTCGAGCGGGTTCCATGACAGGAAGAAATCCAGTAACTGCCAGTGTGATGGGTAAACAGAGGGCCCGTCTGGCGTTCCCCTGAATTCAGAGAGGTGAACTTGGACAGCTCTCTGTTCCTTGTAATCTAGAAGCATTATCTCAGTGTGGTCAAACCTTAACTCGTCTGACTCGTAGAAAAATGCTCACGGCAAGATCATCATTCTGTATGACGACGACGAGAGGCTGGCCAGCCAGGCGGCCACCACCATGTGCGAGCGGGGATTTGAAAACCTCTTCATGCTTTCCGGAGGTGAGCGAGCGGGCTGTGTTCTGCTCCAGGCTTTAAAGGCTGAAATCGGGGCTCACAGTCCTTCACCCCCACGTCACCCCCTTTTTCCTGGGAGAGGTCAGGATTTAGCACAGGCGTTCCTCGGACACACGCAGACCGCCACTACCAAGCAAGTATCCCAGCAAAGCGAGTCATAATCTTTTTGCTGGTAGAGGGTCTTGCCTTCGGTTTCTAAAAAATAAAAATAAATAAAAATACATCTGTGAAGTGCAATAAAGCGCGGCACAATAGACCCAGGGCTGCCTGTGCTTTGGACAGAGAGAGCCGTGCGGCTGAAAGGAGGCAGTTCTGTGAAACCTCCCTGCGCTTTATCGGCGCATGTTTTAAATTCCTGAAATACTGACATGGCATCAGGGCTCTGTGAGGAAGCTTTGATGCTGAGCACTTACGCAGAAGGATTTCTGGGGGAATTCTCAGAATCCCACATCACAAGCGACGTTTTCTGGTGTAATTTTCGTAAATGGTGAAGCAGCGGAGAGAGATTTCGCCACGGGTGCCGGCCTCGACTTGGAAGCCAGGGATGAGGAGGCATGCGGGCTCCTTGTCAGGTTTCGCCTTGGCCTCGCAGTGGTGACGCTGCTTTCTCTCTGATCTCCCACACCCAGGTCTCAAAGTCTTAGCTCAGAAATTCCCAGAAGGACTGATTACGGGTTCCCTGCCTGCATCTTGCCAGCAAGCCCTTCCTCCTGGTTCTGCCCGGAAACGACCCAGCCCCAAAGTGCCACCCCCACCGGCTGAGAATAAGTGGAGATTTACCCCAGAAGACCTAAAACAGATAGAATATTACCTGGAAGAGGAGCAGGGTCCGACAGACAACCTCAGTAAGATCTTTTGACCTTTAGAGATCATACTTTCTGTAGAGCTTGAGATTTGTGATCCCTTGTAATATATTCAGAGTCTTCCAGTATTTTGGAAGGGTACAGGAGCGATGCAGGGAGGGGGGCAAGTGGAGGTGATGCGAGATTGTGGCAAGAATTGGGCATTGTGCACAGAGAGGAGAGGAGAGACTTTATCGACGTGTGTGTCTCAGGCAGAGTTGAGAGGCCAACCTGAAGCATCCAGATTCCTTCTTGGAAAGTCTTCATTTCCTTCTGTTGCTTCTAGGCACACAGACCACTTCAGGCCTTTCCTCTGCACACTACTTCCTCTTCTCTGTCCTCTCATCGCTCCTGCTCACTTCTCTGCCTAGAAGGAAGGTGGCACAGGCTAGCTTGGCTGGGTTGCCTTTCATCCCTGCCCTTTTCCCCATCGTTAAGTTGGTCACAAGGATAAACAGTAGGTTTTAGCCTTAAGAGAATGCTGAATAGGACTTGATTAGCTTCAAAGTGGTTGTAGCATAAGACTTCATGCGTTTAAAAGTGTACTTGGCAGATGGTCCCTGGGACCATGCTTGCAGCTCTCTCCCTGCTCTCTTGCTCCCTCAGGCCGGCTGAGCCACGCCAACGCCTCGGCCAGAGACGCCAAGGTCCCCGGCACCCGCAGCGCGCAGAACCTGTCCAGCGGGGGCCCTGCCAGCCACGCGAACCCCCGCTCTCAAGGCAGCGGCCACCTGCAAGGCAAACCCTGGAAGTAAAGACTCTGTCTGTCCCACTCAAATAAATGTTTTCTCTGCTTCCGGACCCCTGAGCAGTACCCCAGCTGGTCCTTTTCAGACCAGGACATGTGATAGGCCCCTGCCCTCTTCCTCTCCAGCTCCAGAAGGGTTTGTACACGAACCAGAGGCAGCACAGGCTCGTGTCCACCCGTCATCCACACCATATTCACATCTCTGGAACTGAGTAGGAAGAAAGGGTCTCTGGGGGTGGGGGGGCTGGAAGGGGGGTTGAGGGGGGTGTCGTGTTTGTAATAGGGCCCAGCTTGTTGGGGTGTGTATCCCGTGCTGTTGTGTAAATACTTCAGTCACATCTGGGGTGTTCTTCCCACCCAGTTCTTTTCCACTCACGTTCTTGGTTTCATGGAGGCTGTCCAGAGAGGCTGTGCTGCCTGAGAAGCTGGCCCTGGGGTGCGGCTGACTCTTAGCTCCCAGCCTCCCCAGAGCCCCCAGGGGAGGGCCGCAGGTCGAGGCTCTCTTCCCAGCGCAGATACGGGCTCTGTGATGAGTTTGGAGGCTGGTTCCGCAAGCATCACTCAATTTTAAGGTTCAGTGCAGCAGCTCTCACACTTCCTGGACGTTCCTCCTCGCGGCACGCTTCCTGGAGCCAGCGCCGGTGGCGGTGTGTGCTCAGTGCCTTCCCCGGACACGGCCTCCCAGAAATCCCGGCTGTCCGTGTGCAGGGCTGTCCCTCGCTGGTGTCTCTGTTAGGAATTTCCATCACCCAGCTTGGGCCCATCCCGCCTTAGATGGGCAGAAATCATGGCCACTTGTGCACATCAGCGCCGGGCGGGCCGCCGAGGGCACACAGGTGAGGGCGCCTCCATGGTCCTTTGTCAGAGCTGACAGCCCCTTAAGCCCTTGCTTAAAATACAGTATTAGTCTAATTGAGTAATTAGTGCAATTTCCTACTTACTTTTCATTCTCATGGCTGAGCTGTGATTAGGAGGTTGTGATTATAGATTCTGGTTTGGGCCAGAATTTTGAATCAGCATTAATTGAATTGCTAGATGACTGACATTCATTCCATTTAATTGGGGGAACAAAAGACCTCAGGTAAGGATGAGGAACTCTGAAATCATCAGGAAAAGGAAAAGAGCCTTGTTAATTTTTATGGTCTGTGATCTGTAGCTGCGATAAGGAACTGAGGAATAAATTGTGCTTTTTGTCATGGCAACCAGCTTCTGAAAAGCCAACTGAAAATTGCCTATCCTTAGGTGGTTACTGCTGCTGGGTAAGATTCGCCTTAACGGCACTATTTTCTCGCCATCAAAAAAAAAAAAAAGAAAAAGAAAAAAGTACCGCAGTATTTCTAGCAAGGGGGCTGTGTTTGTAAGAGAAGTAAAGGTAATAAATATCGCATAGATTCATATGGAAAAAGAACTTTCCGATTCAGCCCAGTTCTGTTGCAGTATGTTTATTCCTCTCTACTTGATTTCCAAAGTATAACATTTTCCAATGCTTTAGAAATCAAACAAACCAGCGACATTGTTCAGATGTCAAGCCGTGCCCAGTTTTCCACAAGAGTCAAGAATCTTGTATAAAATCCAGCCAACGTACACATAGCTTTAATGAGGAGCCTGTCATGTTTCCCCATAAATTTATTGCCTGAGAACTAGTGCGGCCTGTTGCTAATGCCAAAATGCTCTGGCTTCTTATTTTCTTTACAACATACATTTTTTTTTAATGCAGATTTTTCCACACTCAACTTTCCCCTAGCACGGACAAGATTTTCAGCCTTTTTGACACACATACATTTTTAAGAAGAAAAAAAAAACTGTTTTCTCTGTAACAAAGTTCTGGTTATGCCATTTTAAAATTGACTAGTCAGGAGTTTAGGTTTCCCCACTCGATTCTATTTTAGAGTAAATGGTAGCCCCCCTGTCTTCCTACTCTGCATCCCCAGCACCCAACGACACTCGAGTGTTGGAAACTACTGTACATACGTGGAAAGTCAGGTTCGCCAAACCCGTCAGAACTGCTGTGCATTTAGCCGAGCTGTCTGACAGGCTGTGTGTGTTTGTGTGTCGTTCCCCACAGTGCTTTGCCCCGTTGGTAAGGATTGCGAGTCGCTATTCCTAAAGACCCATTCTGGCGCTGCACTGCGGGTGTTAAGTGGCACTCGCAGTCTTTCCATGCTCAAGGTATTGCTTTGAATGTTTGACTTTACTCGTTTCTGCATTAGGTTAACTGACATGTATTATTTAAGTGATCAGTGATACTCTGTGCAATGATGAATGTTGAATATTAAAGTGCGTAGTTATTCATTTGTTGTTTGCTATTGATATGCTGACCTCTGCCAAATTCTCCCTTCCTCTCTGGTGAGGTGATTTTGGGGAGCCATGTGAGACTGGGGATATTTATATAAATAAATCAGGAGCCATTCCGGTGAGGGCAAGGGACGTCAGCTCTCCAGTCAGAGGCCTGGGTGTCATGCTCAGACAGGGACTAATTGCCACCTGAAACACATGACAGCAGGGCTTTAGTGACAGTGTTTCAAGGGTTGACGAGAGGCCCTGGGCTCGCGACCCCCTACATGGAAGGTGCTTTATCAGTGCACAGCTACAGCTCCATCTGCGCCGCGGTGAGGGCCCAAGTCTAAATAGTACGTTCAATGCTCTAAAGCAGCGGTTCTCAACCTGGGGGTGGAACGACCCTTTCACAGGGGTCGCCTAAGACCATCGGAAAACACATATATAATTACATATTGTTTTTGTGATTAATCACTATGCTTTAATGATGTTCAATTTGTAACAATGAAAATACATCCTGCATATCAGATATTTACATGATGATTCATAATAGTAGCAAAATTACAGTTATGAAGTAGCAACGAAAATAATTTTATGGTTGGGGGTCACCACAACATGAAGAACTGTATTAAAGGGTCGCGGCATTAGGAAGGTTGAGAACCACTGCTCTAAAGGGTTATGTATTTAAGAAAGAAAGAAGGGAAGGAAGGGGAGAGGCAAGGAGGCAAGAAGTGGGGCGGGAGGGAAAAGCTGCGTTACTCATTCAAAAACAAAAAGAACAATCTTGGGCTGTAATAATGTCAGATTTAATCTATTGAAAGGTAAAGAATGATTCAAATAACCTTAAAGTCATTTTATTTTTTCCCTTGAGTGGAAAGCCAGAACCAGCACAATCATATTGGACTTGGTGTAAATCAGAATGAAAAGAGGACAAACAATGCTCATTAGTTGCTGAGGGATTTTTCCTATGGTGCTATTGAGACCAGAAAAAAATTCTTTAGACTTTAGGCTACTCACCAAGAACACAGTCCAAAACAAAACCTCCTTTTCTCTAATTCCCTTCTGGAATATAAGGGGAATCAGAGTCCTAGACTAGGAAGAAATATGGAGGTAATTTTTCTTGTTTGGTTTTGGCTCCTGTCATGTTATTTATGGGTTATAGATTCTGTCTTTTGTGTTATCTGACTTTTTTTAAGGGAGATAATTAATTTCTGTCCACCTGGATTTAAATCCGTGCTCCCTTCTTGCTCTACTCTGAAGATAATCATGAAGAACCTTTCTTTTCCCAGTTCCAGAATGTTCTCAGTGTATTTTGTGTGCCTTTGTTTTCTTCACAATTCTTTTCCAAGATGTAACTCCATAATTCTTTTTTTTTCCCCAAGAAACATCAGAAACATGGATTCTAATTCATCAGTTTGGTTATGTGAGCATGATGACATGCTTACATGCAGTTCAATTACTTTTTTGATTAGCAAATATATTTTCCTCATAAAAACAGTAAATAAAACAGGCTGTGCTTGCAAAGTGTTCAAAATACATTTTGCTAGCAATTCTTTCCCACAATTGTAGTAATTATTGAAATTGTCTATTGTGGTGTTCTTAAATTGGTACACAGGTCAATTATAGCATAAAATATGTAACGGAAACTTCTCAGCATTGAATTCTGGCAGAACAGGATCCAGTGCATGGTTTTATGTGTTTACAAAACTCTGTTGGTCACGCCACCATCCCGATGGCCTCCCTCTCTGATGCTGATCCTCTTTGTTCCAAATGCAGCAGCAGATTCTTCTCACGTGTGCACCATCCCCAGGCGCTTGGTAAAATGTGGGGCAAACAGAGGTCACTGACCAGATGCTGTTACCTGGTGGGCTACATTTTTTTAATTATTTGAAATTTTATTTTGACTATAAGCTCCTAGAGGGTGAAAATCACCAACTAGATGACAGTGGCCCTTAATCAGGGTGTGTGACCAAGTGAATGGAACCTGTCAAGTCTGCAGTCTGGGATGTGAGGCCCATTGTGGGGCGACTCAATGCCGGCCGGCCATTCTGGACATCCGGGAAGCGCTTTCTCTTTCATCCCCTTGTGCACGTCCTGCTTTTGTGGGAGAGGCATTCACAACCCTGAGGTTTTTAGATTACCCGCTGCAGGAGGCCCCGGAGAGCTGTGAGGGCCTCATTATTCCCTGCTGTCTGCAGTCTGCCTTCAGCATTCACCAAATTCGGGTCCCACTCCATCCCCAGCTGAGAGTGAGTTATGTTTTCTCTCTTATTTCGAATCTTGAAGATGTCCAGACAGTCGTACTAGCAGACATGGATGGAGAGCTGACTATGTGTCAGGCAGTGTTTCGAGAGTCTTTGTTTTGTGTTTTGACTCGTTTAGTTCTCACAGCAGTCCCGCGAGGTAGGCGCCGTCATTTTCAGGTAGGAGACTGAGGGTGGAGTGGAAACGAAGCAACTCGCCCCGAGTCACTGAGCTAGAAGGTCGGGAGGACAGGACCCAGCTGGAGAACTGTGGCTCCAGAGCAGGTTCCATCAGCTGCGCACAACCACACTCTCCCTCGCCAGGCCTCCGACTTACCAATGAGAATGTAACCTCCCCTGGCTGCTGGCTCCCCCCTCCCCCCCTTCACCTGAGACTCCACAGGAAGCACTCCTCCTCCGCGGCGCCAAAGGCGAGGGAAGTTCAGGAACCGACATCTGCTCCCTGGACTCTGTGTCTGCATTTCCGCCATCGGTGTCTGGGGACCTGTCCTGAAGACAGGTGTTCCAAGGTCTCTGGGGTTTGTTTAGTTTCTTAGCGAACACCTACTGAGGTGTCACTTAAGGAACGAGTTACAAACTTTTCATTAGATTGTAGGCAAAAAATAGGCTGTTTTCCCAAGAAGTCCAACTGTTCATTCAATAAACCATATTGATACGATTGGTGTCTGGTCTTTTCTCTCCTTTGTGGTGATGTTTCTGAT